GCTTTTTATGTTCCTGATTAATCATATGTATTATTAGCAAAGGAGTAAGCAATATTTTTTAATGTAACCGGGCCTTGTGGCCTAGTGGTAAAGGGGTCACAGCTGTGACTTCCGTCACCAGGGTTCGAGACACGGTCACTGGCAGGTTTACATAGGAGAATTGCCAGCTTCGTGGGATTAGTCCTTGGGCCTAGGAAACCTTTGGGAGAACCGCGGTTATTCAATAAAAAAAAATATATATATATATATATATATATATATATATATATTTTAATGTTTCTTTCTTCACTAAAAAAAAAATTGTTGCAGAGAGAAGATCTCACTGAATTAATGATATATGAACAATTATAGCCGTTCACAAATGAACTATTAACGGGAGGATCCGTGAGATAGATATAGTTTTGGACCTGGATAAGATGTGATCATCGATATAGTAATGATGTTTAGTGAAATTATTAAAGAATATTTCAGCAATAGAAAATTAGGGGTTTCAAGAGGACAATTGATCTTTTCGGGAAGATGAGTGCATTTGAAAACGGATTTTAATCACAAAATTTAGTAAGAGATAGATAGAAAAGATATATTACCTCCAGTGTGAAGTCCTATTTAAATAAAAATTATTTTTCTACAATTACATAAACCCTCATAATTGAAATATAAATAATTAAAATATCTGTAATTAGTAAAACTAAAACCAAGATTGTATTAGTTTTGATTACTCATAAGTATATTATTTGATTACATGTATTAGTTTTGATAATGTGCTTGTCAAATTACAATCTTAGAAACCCAATAACCGCAAGAAGCTCAAATATTTTCCTTTTTGTTTGCACACAACGCAAGACACATTTCCACCAACAAACATCAATAAGTGTAGGTTCAAGATCTAAAAAGAGGATAATCAAGAAGAGGGGTCATCAAGATCTCCACAAAAAAAAATGTGAGAAGAAGAGACATAAAAAAAAAAGGTGGGATGTCACAAAAAGAGTTATATATGAGAACAAGTTTGTAACATGTTTTTTTTTTGTCACTAAATGAAGCTAACAATGGCAACTCAATTAATCAGTAAAATCCTCATCAAAAGCCAAAAAAAAAAAAAAAAAAGAACTTTTTTGTAAAATTTGATTCCATCGTGCGATAATGGTAATTACCAAATACTTGTTTCTCCAAATACATGGACAAATGTAGCCAATTTGGACGTATATGTAAGATAAAGTGTAGGGTCCTTATATCATATTCATATTTGCCATATAGTCAGTGAATTGTCAATGTTAGGTATGGAGAAATGTCGTTGTTATAAGGGTGGCATTATTGTGTCCTTCTCATCCCGGTGAATTTTATAACAACATTGAGCCACAATTTAAACAACCTTCGTATTTCTATCCGAAAATGTACAATTGTTACGATGGTTTAATCAATTCATTGTATAAATACCATGTGTAACATGCCATTATTTTAGCTATGTGAAATAAATCGATATGGTTATATTATTACGAATGTGATGCTTACCAATGGTGTAGTGTAAGATATCATTCAATTACTCCTAATCTAAAATTCAAGGCGAGAAGTTCCAATAATAAACGTGTGTTTACATATACGCAACGCGAACGTCACTCTGTTGTGTGTGTAATGGATTGAGCTATAAAACTTTTCATACCCTTCTTAGCCAAAGAAGAAGAATTGCGTGGGCTTTATGATATAAACATTAATATGGGCCGATCACGCTTATTGGGCCATACCCACTGCCATTGGAACTGTGCAACTTTAACTTCATTAATGAGTGGTTTCGGTCTGACCAAACCAAACCAGAACTGTACTGAAAATTTTGTCTTGAAAACCAAATCAAAATTTGAGTAAAGTTAGAGGTTTTTGAGAATTGTTCTCTGATGTATTACACAAAAATATACAAGATATATTTAGGAATGCAATAATTTTTTTATTTTTTTTTTTGAATAAAATGTCAAATTATATTCAAAAAGAAAAAAATACTGTTTACATCAGCTGTTTTTGACTTTTTATATCAAATAGAAAACAGAGGTTTGAAGAAAAACATGGAGAACAGGGCTTTAAGCTTTGAACGGTTTGTTGGTGTGTGCTCTAGATGCGGGAGGCGAACCATGTTTGTAATCCATTTTCATATCTCCGATCTCCTTGTCTCTGAATTACTGAGAGTTGGTTGCGAACTTGCTTATCGATCCAACGAATGAGGTTGATAGGTGTGTTAGGGTGTTCCCCGTGCCGTCGAGCGTTCCTCTCTCGCCAGATCATGTGAATCGAGAGTTGGAACGTGTACTTGATTAGGAAACTGTGAATACGATCCGGGTGCGACTCCGATATGTACTCCATAAGTGTATTCCAATCCGTTGAGAACCGGGATTTGAAGACGTTTTTTGCAGTGGCTGTCCAAATCTCCGAAGCATAGTGACATGAAAAGAAGAGGTGGTTGCGGGTTTCAATGGGAGCAGAGCAGAAAGTGCATGATGTTGTGGAGCCATTGTTCCAGCCCATCATACGGTCTCCGGTCGATAGTCGATTTTGTAATGCTAACCAGGCGCAAAAGGAGTATTTCGGTGTTGCATGAGCAAACCAAACTCCTTTGTGCCAAGCCACTCTGTTCGATGTTGTTCTAATATGGTTCCATGTGTCTTTTGTGGAGAAATGAGGCTTGAAAACATCACCTTTACCTCTCCATAAGACAACGTCGTTTCTGTTCTGATTGCGTGTGTGGTATTTCTGTGCCAACAGCTCCTCTATATCATTGAACACGTCGACCTGATGTCGTCTTCTCCTGCGTTGTTCCCAAGCTTCCCGCATTGTCATTTTTCTGCCTATCCCCATGTCAATGACTCCTCGTAGGCCAGTTACATCCATTAGAGAACCCATATCAGACCAATTATCAAACCAAAAAGAGGTGTGATTTCCAATGTGTACCTCCACTTTGCAGAAAGTCTTTGCCATGTCTCTGTATTTTACTAGCTTCTTCCACATCCATGAGCCCAGACTTGAAGTAGCGCGAAATGACCAAAAGGTCTCTGTTTTAAGCAGATTCATTTTTGACCATGTAACCCAAAGGGAGTCACCATTTGAGATTAACCTCCAAATCAGTTTGAGACAGCATACGTCATTTACTTCTTTTAAGGATCTGATTCCAAGTCCTCCTTCTTCCCTTGGCTTGCAGATTCCTTCCCACGAGACTTTTGACTTGTTTGGATTTAGTGATGATCCGGACCAGAGAAACGCAGCACATAATTTTTCTATCTCCCGTATACATTCCCGTGGCAGTCTATATGCATTCATCCAGAAATTTGATATACTCATTAATACTGACCTTATCAAACTGAGACGTCCCGCAAAGGAGATTAGGTTAGGTTAGACACATAACGGTCTCTAGACTCTTTTTTTTTTTTTTTTTTTTTTCGTCAAACACCATTTTATTAAGTTATCGGGAAGAAAAGACTTTCCTCTGGGGAGAGCCAATCAGGAACCGATGAGCTTACATGGGAAAAGAAACAATTACGGGCTCGGGCTTTCTTAGCTAAGCAAACAGCCCGACCATTAAAAATACGAGGAATAAACCTAGACTGAAGAGTTCCAGCAAAAGATATAGAAATGCTACTGATAAGGAGTTCCACCACGAAGGGATGATTCTCGTAGATGCGGAGGGCTGTCCTTTTCCAGAATGCCAAGCTCCATGGTAACCATTGCCACAAGGAATACAAAAGATTCCAAGCAGTTTTAAACTTCCAATATTGCGCCTGAAGTGCATGAGCATTCATTCCCTGAAAAGGGGGGTCGCAAAAAGGACGAGAAGAAAATCTCGCGATCCAAAGTCCAAAGTCGTCGATAAAGAGAAGGGAGCGAAACCAAACAGTTGTAAGCAGAATTCTCGAACCAAGCAAAGAGATACACATAAGGTTAGTATCCGTGAGTATGAATGATGTAAAAGGGTACATAAAACATCCTCGTCTCGTGAAGGAAATCACCCTAGAAAGCATAGTGTTTTGGAACTCAACTAAGCTTCTCAGGAGAAGGCACATTAGACGTTTACCACGCCTGTGAGAGATGCTAGCTGAAGAGGTCTCTCTTTCATCAAAGAGGAAGTTAAAGCCATGTCTCTCCTCAAGGGAGGGATTAATCGAGTCGGGAAAAGATAGATCTAGGGTCAATATTCCAATCATGCCCTGACCTCCTTGATTCATTTTCCCAACCTTGGAAACTGACTTATTGCAACCAAACGCCACTGGCCTTAGCAAGCTATGATTTACCACATGTTGAACGTGGTTGGTTTTACGCCATATTCTGCGATCCCACTTACTGTCGCGGTTCGTTGAAACCGGATCTTCAAAATCGAAAGATAAGAGCATCCAAATTGCCGAGCAAGATCTCTTAATAACCGCCAGTAGATTACTCCCAAACAATAGAATAGTCGGAGCTAAATCACTACCCAATCGACAACGAGATCCATTGAAACTTTTCAGATTCTTATTCTGAGAAACAACTAAACATAAACATAAACATGGGGATCTTTTTGGTCTCAACAGGCCCAATAACACAAGGACTAACCACTGGCCCAACAACCAGGGAGGCAAAAGCTTGGCCAAAGTCATTAGTCTGAGCAAAAGCTGGCCCATATTCATTAGGTTTTTTCCTTGCCTCATCAGACCCAATGTCATGGGTCCATATTCAATTTTTTAAAATTTCATAAAGTTAAAGGCCAAATTTTTTTTAAAACAAAATTTTACTAAGAGTTTTTTTGTTTTTTTTTCTGTTTTACCAAGGACCCTATAATGAACTTTTTAATAGTTCTATAGTGAACATTCATATAACAATCCAATTATTCATAACATAACTAGTTTTATTTGTAACAATTAAATTTTCATTTTTTTTCTTTCCTGTTTGATTGCAATTCAGTTTGTTGCCTAATGTAACCGAATCAACCTGCATTATTATTACGTGGGATATACAAAGTTATGGATTTAAACATAGTGAACATTCATGGATTTGACAAACACTATCAAAAAAGTTATCCAAAATATTATAACGTTAATGCGAATGATAATTAAAGACGAAAAAGGAAAAATCAAGATTTAAGACGAGATGAGTCACTTCTACTACAATCTTAATTTACATAAAAGGATTTGTTCTTTGCTGAATCTTCATCATCTTTAAAACTATTTTGATCAAATACTACAAACCATAGAGCTCTTCGGTTTCTAGGCATGTCTAGGATTTCTAAATCATAGTTTTCAGTACATGCTGTTCCCCTGAACCTGCAATAACACAAAATCAAGAAACATAAGTTCCAATTTCAATTCATATTTCTTGGGAAACAAGTAATCTTTCCGGACTCACATCAACATGTCTACCGTAGTTGGTATTAGTCATAACGGTACTCGTAGATCCGCATTCGCTCTCCATAAGCGATATATTAGATTTATCGAGCTTAATCGCCATCCACGGATAATACTGATGATGATGCTGATGTTGTTGACTTTCCTTGGCTGTATTTGACCCTAATTGAGATGAAGATCTCTGCATCCTTACAGCTCTCGGGACACCGTTGTTCCTCGGTGCTTCCATCGAAGATCTTCTCCTCCCACTCATCTGTTTCTCATAGATCTCAGGAGGTCTCTGCTTCGGCGCACTTTGAGACCGAGCCTTGGCTTTAGAAGACTGAGTATTAGCCATGTAATTTGGGAAGAGAGGGTAATCATAAGAAGACAAAGTATCTCCATTGTAATACTCTTTGAATCTGCTGAAACATTGAGGACTACTTTGAGCTATGTTGAAAGAGTTACAATCCTCGAAATGGCTACTATACGCGCGAGGACTCATCTCGGTTAAAGCAGAAGGAGCCGGAGAGTACATTTTCGATTGAATGTCCATTTCCACAATCTTGATGTTTTCTTCATTCTCCTGCAAAAACAGAGGATTTTAAAAATTAGGTCAAATTGAGGATATGTTGTCAAGTTTGGATTTTGAGATCTGGGTTTTGTAGATCCATTACTTGGTAAAGGTTATTGATTCGGGTTTTGTGAATCGATGTTCTTGGATTTGTTGAATCTCCTCCGATCATACGAATCCTCTGTTCTCGAGCTTTGGCTTGAAGTGTTATTAATGCTTGCATACATCTAAGTGTAGCTGTTGCTTGTTTCCTTACTAAATGACCTCTCACTAGTGCTTGTAATTTCACTAACCCTTTTAATGCTCTTAATGCTTTCCTCGCCTACCACAAATGTTATGAAAAAAAAATTACACTAATTGAAGCCAGAAAAAAAAGATATATGATTCGTTGCAATTTTTGTAAAAAAATTTACCAAATGAGAACGATAGCACGCTTGAATCTTTATTGCTGCAAATTCTTCAATCTCTTCGCCTGAAACGTTCTTGATTTGTTCATCTTCATTGTCCACGATTGCGACCACTAATGGTTGTGGTTGCGGTGGAGGTGGTGGTGGCGGTGGCGGTGAATCTTTTAAGGTAATAGCACAAGCTGGTGGTGGTCCAGTGGCTGAAGAACGTCGAAAACTCCATCGACGTTTCTCTTTAGGAGTGCCTGGAATGGAGGAAGTGAATCCACACTCGCTTTGAATAATATGTTCCTTTGTTCTCTCTTTCTTTCCGGTTAACAAACTTCGAATCCATTTGCTTGTTTTCCCCATTATTTGTCTTTTGAAAAGCTTTTGCTCAAACCACCACCATTGTGTAATGTCAGAGAAGAAGAGATTGTAATGTGTGTGTGTGTTTGGTTTCGAGAGGTTATAATGGGACAGACATTTTCTTGTTTAAGACATTGTACTCCAAACTCTTTAACTGCTTCTCTTTTTGGACAGCCTAACACCATAAGTTCTTTAACTACCCATCACTCAATAACATTTAATTTCTTTTTTTGTACCCCCCTTTTTGGTTGAATTTTAGTGGAATTATTTTGGAATGTAAAAACTCTATTAAATTTGTCTCTATGTTAACAAAAATTCTTTTTGAGTTCTGGTCTCTAACTCTCTATATGTAAATATCAAAAAAACATAATCATTATACATAAATCAATGTAAATTTTAGTAGGTTGATTATCATTCATTAATTATGAAGATATTTACTTTTATATTTTTATTGCAACTTGCATGTTTAGTAAAATATGTTTTGGAGGATGACTTAATAATTAGAGAGAAGAAGAAGCAGAGCGGAAGTTCCATGGCCACGATTTATCCACTCGAAGGCCAACTACACAATCTCAATAAATAAGATTAGATCAGATTAGATTAGATTCCTTGCCTTCTTCGTTGGATATCGCAAAATACTAAAATACACTCGTATGCAACTTATATACATCCTTCGAGCATCTCTGACCCACATCTATATTTGCTTCTAAACTCTATTTTAAAGGCAAATATACTTCAACTCATTTCTATTCTCACCTCTAAAATAGAGATTTCTATTTTTTTTCTCTATATATAGAGGATCATATAGAGAATCTCTATTTTTTTTCTTATAAATAGAGTTAAGCTTTTTAGAGGAAAAAATAGAGAAACACATTGGAGTAAAAATAGAGAAAATTCACCTCTATTATAGAGATAGAGCTAAAAATAGGGAAATACGTTAGAGATGGTCTTCAAAGTTATTCAAATAAGAGATAAGTAGACTAATTAAACTTTTTTTATTTTTTTATTTTTTTTAGACTAACTAAACAATTTTTTTTTTTCGTACAACGATATATTATTACACAATCAAGTGGCATTAGTCCATGTTTCCGTTCTATTGTTCGAAGCAGAATAGATAAGTTTTACATTCCATTTTATGTATTACTTTCTTGACTACCTAATATGAATGTGTGACTGTTGCAAATTAAAAATCAAAATTTTTTTTTTTTTTTTTTTTTTTTTTTTTTTTTTTTTTTTTTTTTTTTTTTTTTTTAAAGTCATATTATCTAAAGATAAAGATAAAAGAATGAAATCATACTAATTACAATATATTGTAAAGATCTTATATGTTTTACAACAAAATGCATGATGATTAACTGTGATTAATATAATTATATATGGTTTACGTTTCACGTAAAAGTTTTGGATTATAAGTGCATTAATATCGTTTAAGTGTTTTTGCATTCAAATGTAGCTCCGAATCACAGCTACTCGTAATAATTAACCATAAACTAAACTTGTGTGTGTGATTGATATCTAAATAAGATAGTTAAGTTGGTTGAGAAAGATGGAATTAACTTTCTCTTCAACACTTAATTATGTAGGATGGCGTGTGTGATAAACCTAGCTAGATAGCTACGTAACATAATGAGATATTGATACATTACTGCTCAATGCTCATCCAAAAGAAATTGACACCTAGAGTTTTGGACTTGGACTTAGAAAGGGGTAAAGAAGTCATTAGATAGTGAGATTTGTGATGGATGAGCCATGTGAAAAAAGGGTAAAAGAACATGCAGAATCCGTGAGAAATATTTATCATTATCATAACTTGCATTTTTTATAAGGGACGTTCTGCGTTCATGGATTTTAGCATGAGAATGAGACATATGTTACCATTACCATATAATAGATTATATCTTATGTCAACATTTCGGATAATAAAAACACGGTTGGTTTTATTGGCCCACACTGAAATGTATGAGAAAATGATGTTAGTAGTTTAGTTTGTGGCCACATATGTGAACCCAATAACCACGACCATGGTCAGTCGAATGAATGAAACTATTCAAGAGATATATACATCACATTTTATCCATCAAGAAGTATATAATCCAATAATGTATTAAATAAAATTAGTAATCAGAGCTGGTTAACCGAAAATTTAGCTAGTTTTGGATTACAATTGTCCTGCTCCTGCATGTGAATCAGGCATTAGTCAATCGCGGGCATATAAATACGATGGATATATAAGTATATAACCTTTTCATGTTTTTTTTTCTTCTATGCAGAAATAGAAATCTTATAGGAATTGTTATCATATATCTGAATTTTTAAGAAACTAGTCTAATTTCAGTAAGTGACGCTTAATAATAAAATTGGTATACTTATCTTTTATGTCTTGATTGCATTAAAGAATCATTCCAAAGTATTTATTTTCTTGGTCGGAGGACCCCCTAAAAATGTAGGACACGTTTTGATACTAATTAGACCCTATACCAATTCATTTTTTGATTATTTGTTTCCCATAAATCCATAAATGATAATTAGATATGATGCATATGTGATAGGTCTAAATTCAATTGTTTAGCTTTTGAAGACAATAATAGATGCTTCTAGACAAATTTTCTTAAATGTGCTTATTATTATATAGGAAATTTAGCTACCAAAATAAATATGAATTAGTTGAAATCAAGTTATAACAATCAGAAATGGTCCATATGTAATGAATTAGGTTTTTGTGGTGTTAGCTCAACCAATACAATGTCTCATTCATACCTTGTAGAAATTATATCTTAAACCAAAAACAATGAATTAAATAGTTTTACATTATATTAGTATACAAAAGTTTTGTATAAATAAGCGGATCAAATGAATTGCTTACGGATCAAGATCGTATGGATGAAATTCTGTTTTTATTTTTGAGTTAAATATTTATATTGGATTATCAAAGGAAATAAGTGTTGGAAATAAATATGGTATGTATAGGCGATGGCCTAGCCGGAGAAGTGAACTAATCTCATTAGGTACTGACATGCCATTGTCATATAGGGGAATTTACAAATGAAACAAAAAAAAAAGTTGCATTTTTGTTTTAAGCACACTGAAAATTATTATTTTCAACTAGCCTTTTGGTTTTTAGCTAGTGAAATGGTCAATTGGTCCTTGCAACAAAACAAAACATCTGCGGAATATGTTTTAACTCACCAAATATATAATATTTCATTTACAAACTCAATGTTAAATCTTTTCTTTTTCTAGGTGATTAGGTTTTAAATCCATACAGATTTTTTATTTTCCGTAACTGATCCATAGGCTATAAAAGTAGAAAGCACCAGAAAACATATCTATTTAGGTTTTTTAATCAGAAGTATAAACTAGTAGTTTATAACCTGTGAATCATATCAAACTTAAATAAGATAAGAATGTCTTGAGATGCTAAAGAACTATATAAATCCAATTGCACAAAACAAACATAGATATAAGTTGTTGAATCACAAAGCCAATCATCATAGAAGATTGCTGCCCCTCGCACTGTCATTGACGATTAACTAGTGGTTAGTGCATGAATTGGAACTTTGTTCCAACTATATACATGGGGATTTGTCACCACTCCTTAACGTGCATTAATAGTAAACCATAAAACTCCTTAGTTAGACTAATATATTAATATTCATATGAACAGTAGCATGATAATACATGTCGGTGTCTGTGTATGAAGCTGGCAATCACATGGCATGTTACTATACGTTGACTAGCTTCCTCCATTATGGTTTCATCGATCTATCCAAACCATTACTTTGATGTTTGTTACTTTGTTGCCATTTGTTTTCTTATTTATTCCCGGCGGCCGGCAACAAATACGGCGCCGTTTGCCGATTCATTTTCATTCTGATTTCTTCTAATCATCCTTGGAATAAGAGTCTTATATGTCGTACAATTTAGATCTCAATATTTTATTCTATTTGGTATATTCTTTTGGCCAAGAATTTGCCGATTTATACTTAACGTATGATATGACACTTTCTCGAGGAAGTAAACTAGAGGTAGAATGCTAGAGAATACGACAACTAGCCCGCAAGGTGGTGGGCGAGTGGTAGGGCGAGTCCGGAGTTGAGAGTGAAATCCCCGAACCCGGGTTCGATCTTTTTTTTTCTCGCTGTTATCAATACTTTGTTGAGAAATCTGGGCTTGGACTTCGGCCCAGACAGTTTACCTGGTAGTCTGGTAACAGGCGATTTAGCTACCCCGGGCATTAGTCGGACAGCATTCCACTCTTATCAGACAGTGTGGTAGCCCATCCTTCGGGGTGGTAGTGAGTCCACTATGTAGCACTCCGGTGCGTTCCTGTCGAGACTAACCGGATCAGCCGATCGGGTATATCAAAAAAAAAAAAAAAAAAAAATACGACAACTAATGGACTAATCAAATAATGATAGTTCACTCGCTCGTACCGTTTAAATGGTCGAAATAACATAAAATAAAATTATTTTCTTTTTTATAAAAGACTTTTTTTTTGCTCTCTTTTGCGTGTTATTAGGGCATTTGCAAGGACTTTTTTCCTTTAACTTCAAATTAACTCTTCTTTATTTTGTGACTGAATAAAATTGTAAAGTTATTACCACATATATTATGAAAATTAGTTTATATATACCTGCTATTATAACAGATAAAAAAAAAATATAGATCAGAAAATGTAAAGGGATTTTAGTTAAACATAGGCCTGGGCACAAGTACTCGGTACCCGCTACTCGGCTCGTACTCGGCTTGAAAATTCAAATACCTGCTATAATCAAGTCGAATAACAAGTAGGTAAATTCTATTACTTGCAAGTAAGGGTCAAGTATCAAGTATCAAAAAAATTATTGATACTTGGCTCGTTACTCACCTCGTTTTGATTCTTGCCCCGTTACTCACTCCGTTTTGTATTACAAGACATATTTAAACTATAAAGACCATTAAACATTTAAACCCAATTACTAAAACTATAAAACACAATGTTATAAACTAGTCTAAAACTATAAGGGCCAACATTAGTTACAACTTATAAAGTCCATTAAACCCAAATAACCCAACTACTTAAAAAAACCCAATAACAAAGAAACAACAAAAAAATAAACAATCGGAAAAATAAAAAATAAACAATGGTTTTATTTATATGGAAAAAAAAAAGAGAATCAAGAAGACAAGAACTCAAGAAGGAAGACAGAGACATGATTTCAATTTGAACTAATTTGTTTTAAAATGCTTATCTTTTGGAACTTTGAATGTGTTGTGATTCTATGATCCCCTCTATCAAACAAAATTATCAAAAAGGAAGATTTTATGATGTTTAGAATTCTGAATGTTTTGTAATATGTATGAGATTGTTTTTTTATTTAAATTAAATCATTTAGTTCAAGACTTCAAGTAACAAGCCAAGTCGAGTTACCTTGCAAGTAACAAGCCGGATCAAGTTACTTGCAAGTAACAAGATTTTGGACGGGCAAGTACTTGCTCAAACGAGTCGAGTATCAAACCGAAATTTCAATTACTTGTACGGACCAAGACGAGTTACAAGTACTTGAATTGTACCAGGCCTAGTTAAACAAGTTGACACGACTTTCGGTCAGATATTCTTATGGTATAACTTCTATCCTTTTTTTTTATAAACAAATTGGTTTAGGGTTTTATCCAAATCTACAAGTTGGCAAAGACATCGATGTATCAAATACATATACTCAAATCTACAAGTTGGCAAAGACATCGATGTATCAAATACATATACTCCATTAATACATATACTCCATTAACCGTTAAGAGATGAAGCCCAAGGCCGTAATAGCTATAAGGCCCATTACCAAAGTCAACAATACCAATTTCTGTTTTCGTTTTGGAGATATCAAATATAGCAGTAGAGGGAAACATTATAGTAGACATGAATAGGAAAATAGCAATAGCTAGGCATGAGTAGAATGAAAGTTAACCTAGATCAACTTTCTAAGTTCAGTTTTGTGGTTCAATCTAGGAGGTTGGAGAAAGTGTAAAGTCAAGCTTGATTTAGTAAACCAATTTCAGTGAAATCTTTTTTTAGTTTATCGTTATATATTTCAGATGACAAACAAAATTTGCAAAATCCTGGAAAATGATAATGATAAGTTGCTTTTTGCATTATAAAACTAACTAAACTTTGACAAAAAAAAAATTACATAACTAACTAATAACTTTTTTTTGCAGCAACTAACTAATAACTATTCATATAAAGAATGGCGATTGAGTCGTGTTGCATAAACACTACTCCCTCCGTTTTCGAATAGTTGTCGTTTTAGAGAAATTTTTTTGTTTTTAATTAGTTGTCGTTTTCAGTTTTCGATACAAAATTTATTACTTTTTTATTTTTTATATTTATTTTTATTATGCAACTTGATTTACTATTGGTTAAATTATGTTTAGGTAGATAATTAATAATATTTTTATATTAAAAAACTAACAACATTAATAATTTTTTAATTTGTGTGCATATAGTTAAAACGACAACTATTCGAAAACGGAGGGAGTATCGAAGTTGTGATATTTATTGCATAAACGTGTTCAATGGGCCGATGACTTGACTTTTTTGCCATTCTATCGGATCAAATGGACGGTGCACTATAAAAATGTTCGATGGGCCGATGGGCATGTTTGACATGCTACTTTACGGGATAACTATTTAAAAATGCCTAAAAATGCACCTTTTTTTTTTTTTAATGCAACTTCTTTAGGTATATATATTTCTAGAAAATAAATATGGGATTCGATACAATTAAAAAAAAAAAAACTTTATAACTATAAAACTACACTATACTTTTAATTTTTGTTAGCTTGTTGTTTAAAGTTTCAACACTTTGTTTCTAGTTTTTAAAGTATCACATATTCACATGGAAGTAAGAACATACTCCCTCCGTTGTAGTTTTAGAGAAATTTTTTTTGTTTTTAATTAGTTGTCGTTTTCAGTTTTCGATGCAAAATTTATTACTTTTTTATTTTTTATATTTATTTTTATTATGCAACTTGATTTACTATTGGTTAAATTATGTTTAAGTAGATAATTAATGATATTTTTATATTGAAAAACTAACAACATTAATAGTTTCTTAATTTTTGTGCATATAGTTAAAACGACAACTATTCGAAAACAGAGGGAGTATTATGTTAAAATAGAGTTATATTTCTATCAATGATTAAGCTATTGATTTTATTTAGTATATTGAGTTTTAAGATTTTTATCCTAGAATTCTAGTTATAAGATTTCCCTATTTTCTTATGTAGAATTTATATATATATATATATATATATATATATATAAATTATGTAGAATTCTGTTATACATAAACAATAAAATTTTATTAATCGTAATCATAGAATGAATTTTCAATTCAATAACCATGTTATGTGACAAAACTTTATATCAATGGTATTTTTAGAACAAAAAAAAAGATTTGAATTATTACTTTAAGGCCTAATTTATTGATCATAATACATCATAAGCTTTGTCTGATTCATCCATAAAACTTGTTTTGTTTGTAATAAACACAATAGTAATGTTATACTCTATGATAGAAGAACTTTAATATCAATGTCTGTTTTAGGAATAAAATTATGATATGAAGGATTATTTTTCTTCTCTTGTTATTTTGCTCCAATATTATATAAGCAGTGTATTTTCAAGACTAATTTATTGAATATGTTGACCCTTAAAAAGCAAACAAATGAAATTTAAACGCATTAATTGGATCTCAGCGATCAACTAATAACTAACTCAAGAAAATCTGAAGCCAAGTCGGTCAGTCCACGCCACTATTGACATCCGTGTCCACCTTACACACTCACCAAATCCTCAACTATATAACAAAGTCCTAAGAAAGATCTTTCGTTTTCTTTCTTTTTTGTTATTTCAGATTCGTTTTTTTTTTTGTGTTCTTCAAAGTAAGGGAGAAGAAGACACAGAAACATGGCTTGTCTTAGGAACACACTCTGTCTTGTTGCAGCTTTGCTTCTGATCTACCAGAAGACAGCTACTTGCGATTTCCTCTCTCCACTTTTCGCTCCTATGTATGGTATGTCTCTTCCTCTTCCTCACTTTTTCCTGAATTGTTTTTCTCATATTTGATATTGGTGGAATTAACCATTTAATCCAAATCTTGATTCCTTATTAATTAAAGTTAAATTCCTCTCGTTGATGTATTTAACTTCTTTGAAACAAAAGTATAATCTCATTAACCAAAAAAAAAAAAGAAAAAACAAACAAGGATAATCTAAAGACTTTGAATATTATTTAAATAGAACAAAACTTGACTAGATTAACTTGATTCTGTCGAGATTAGGGTTTAACTCCCGCCAGAATTTGAACTAGAGATGTAACTTTTTTTGTGTGTGACAGAATTAAAGTATCTTTATGAGTTGGGTTTTGAGTAAAAGTGATCTTCTTTAAAGGGTCCTTCTCAAATTTCGAATTTTGTATATGGTATGACTTATTTAGAGTTGGTTGATGCAATTATTGTGGAAACAAAAAAAAAACAGATAATATATGTAAGGAAGTGGAATGTGGGAAAGGGAAATGCAAATCATCTTTGAACACAACTTTTATGTATGAATGTGAGTGTGACGATGGTTGGAAGCAGTTTGATCAGCACCTCAAGTTTCTCCCTTGCATCACCCCTAACTGTAATATCCTTCTCTTGATCTCTCTCTTGATCACTGGTTTAGATTTGTTTGATCATATAGAGAACATAACAAAGTATACATTGCATCTTTTTAGGTACCTTTGACCTAACATGTGGTGAAGCAGCATCTCCAGCACAACCCAAAACGCCTCCTAAAGACAACATTACTTCATTATTCGACGGTAATAATCTTTAATCTCATTCTTTTTATGTTTTTATCAATAGGTATCCGGCCTTAGGCATGTATTTCCCTCTTGTCGAAGATCAGAGCATGTTAATATTATCCTCTTCTTCAGCATGAAACTCGAGCATGAGACCTTAAGACACATCTGGTCTTTAATCTCATTTTCCTCGATGTGTGTTACTTACATAGCTTGTCAATGGATGGATTGTGGAGGAGGGTTTTGCAACAGTACAACAGCATTTCAATACAGCTGCAATTGCCATGAAGGTTACAGCAATCTCATGAACATAACCACATTCCCTTGCTTGAAGCAATGTAAGAAGAACAATTGTTTATTGATTGTCAATTGAAGAAAAACCAATACTTAAAATTGGGATTGTTTGTGTTTGGTAGGTGCACTTGGAATGGACTGTTTGAATCTTGGGATACCTTTGTCAAACACATCATCGTCTTCTCCACCTGCTCTGCCTGATAGCAGCAAGAATCAAGGTTTGACTCATTAAAATGTCTGCGTTTATCTTAATCAAGATAGGTTCTCTATAATGTTGAGGTTTGTTTTAATTTGAGCAGGATTGAATCTAAGAGGATCATCATTGTGGTGGATAACATTTATGCTTTGTGTCTCTTTAGCACCATGGAGGCTACTCTACATTTGATCTCTTTTGGTTTTGTATCCAAATTTCGTGTACAAATACATTACTTGACAGGTTTTTAGTTGGGCATTGTACTACTTTACTTTTTCTCTGTTTTACTCTTTTTGTTCATCTTTTCTTCTCAAAAACAAATACGATAGATTTCTATATTTTAAACTATTCAGTCACTGATTTATGATAGAAATACGTAAATGATTTTAAGTTTATTTTTATTTTTGTCGACTGCATAATATTCATGAGAAACAGGGGAACAAGAAGAACAAAACCAAAAATGAGTGAGACTCAAACAAACTGGAACACCTTCGACCAATTAATCGCAGCCTCTTTGGTCCACTATATGGTATCCAAATAACATCTTCACTACTTTTGAACTCTTGTACTAGCTACCACAAGAGTTGCAGCACCAAAATGTAACCATTATCTATCAATGGAAGCTAGTGCAAGAATTCAAAAGCAGGAAAACTGTTAACTGGTATACTAGAGAAGCTGATGCCACCAACTGCCCCTTGCCCGCCGAGATAACACTTCTACCCCAAAAACTATATCATCAAGTTACACATGTTTACGAAAGAACAAATGTAACACCTTGGGAGAGATTTTATAATGTGCGAGGCATTTCCAGGATCAAAAGGCATTGAAAAAAGCAAGATGATCAGGATATACCACAACAAATATAGCGTCACAAGCCATTATACCTGAAGGAATTGTGTTTATCCTTCAGAATTGGTAATGGACGCCAATACAAAAACCTAAAAACACTTAAAAAATATTTCTTCAATAGGGGAAAATTTGTTTCAATATGCTCAGTGGAAGGAGAAGTCGTTTAAATAGGAGAGCTCACGGTATAACCACTGCTCTTCTCACACTCTTCGTGCTTTTCTCTCATCATTGCATCATCATCAAACACAACAATAATCAAACAAAACAAAAACCAAAACATTGGTAAAAGAACAAAGAAGCTTCAGTGTGTGTAACAAATTCAGATCATTGATTCAAGAACCTCACTGAAATCCGCTAAGATAATTGTCTTTTATCATCATCAGCTTACAAGTCAATCAAAACAGAGAAATTTATCTTCAAATCAAACAAAAGAGGAGATTTTTGTGTGAAAGGCCAAAAGGGTGATTAATACTCAGACAGCCAAGGGTTAATCTTCAACTTCTGGGAGAAGAATCCCAGATCTGAAACTCTAGTCCACATACACTTGTATCATCACCATAGTAACCCCTTCCACACATCACAAATCTCTTACACAAAAACCCTAAAAATCACCAATTTTATCATATACAGACACGAAAATAGTCACATACCTATCCCTAAAATAACCAATTATAACATACAGACATGAAAAAAGAGCAAGATCCTACGAACTTAGCAGGAAACGAAACCATATAAATACATACACAAACTCAAAGAAACTCATCTGAGAAATTAGGTTTCTTCCGGCGGCGACAATTTAATTTTAGGTTTTTCTTAGCCCAATTAATCTACATGGGCCATATTATTCAGCCCAACAAATAACTTCATTATCAAGTAGAATATCTTTTTCATTACTACTACTTCTGTCTAAAGTCTAAACCCCAAAAATGAAAGTGACACAACCTGCAAGATATGTTACACTAACTTTTACAATTTACAGTGCCATGCAAGTTTACCATATATGTCTAACCTTTCTCGTCTCAACAAATCACTATTTTGGAAAACATCACAAAAATCAGGAAAATGAGTGTTCAAATACACTAATACTATTAGTCCTAGGCGTTTGGTTATCCAATCGGTTATCAGTTCGTATCCATTTGGTTTCGGTTCTTTATGTTCTAAAATTTAGTATCCATTCGGATATTTTGAAATTTCAGTTCGGTTTCGGTTCGGTTCTGGTTTTTTCGGTTTTAAAATTTAGTATCCATTCGGTTATTTTATTTTGAATATTTTCGGATATTTTGGTTATTTTTGGATATTTTTAGATATTTTTCGGTTATTTCGAATACTTTTAATATTTTTATATATTTTTCAAGTATTTTGATTATTTGGTCTATAAATAAATATTTTTGAAAATATAATTGTATTTCGGATATTTTTGGTTATCCAAAATATTTCGGTTCGGTACCAATTTGATTACGGTTCTTTCGGTTATAGAATTTAGTATCCATTCGGTTATTTTCAAATTTTTAGTTCGGTTTGGTTGGATTTTTTTGCTTCAGTTTCGGTTCGGTACATTCGGTTCGGTTTATTTGTCCAGACCTAGATAGTATCACTAGGTTCAAGTGTTCAACATTAATGCAAATTTCTGATATTTGGAATAATACGGTCACATCCTTTTAAGTTGAACTTGTTTCTTAGGGGGTATATTGAAACAAGGATTTTTTAAAAAATTGGTTTTTTTCATAAAATCATGTGTTATTCAACTTGTGTTTTATAAATACCTTTCTAAATCTCATGTTATTGAACTTGACATTTATGTAAAATCATCCAAAAGAATTCACAATCACTTGTTATTCAATCAAGGATTTATAAAAATTATATCAAATCCACTGTTATTCAAACTTAACAAAAACTTTTAGAAGAAATACTCAACAGTGATTTTGAGAGACTTTGGATAACTTTTTTAGTTGAAAAATAGACATAAAAAAATCACATCTCCATAGATGTTATTTGGAAGGATTTCATTAAAAAAAAAAAGATATTCCACGATGGTCCGTCTCTCGTCTTTTTTTTTTTTTCATCACTCAAAGAAAATAAGGTTCACATTCTGTTTCAGTATGTTAAACTAGATTTTAACCCGCGGTACACCGCGGGATGATTTAATTTTAAAGTTAGTATAAAAATATTTTGTAAATTGTATCTCCTTATAACATATTTATTTATATTATAGTTTACAATTGTTATTAAGTAACGGTATACCACGAGTCCACGAGATAATTATTAATAAACTGAGGATTTAACCCGTATTAAAGCGGTATATAAATATTGATTCAAATTCGTCCGCCATATAAATCATTTCCGAAATATAACCCGTTCCGTAATTTCTTAACCCGTCATGTGATTTGTATTAAAAAAAAAAGGATTAAATCCGTATTGAAGCGGCGGATTAATGATATTTTAATCTTTTTATTATTGTTGATTCAAAAACCCGTCCCGCCAAACCCATCCCGCCAAAAAACCCATTTATTTTATTAATGTTCTTATTTATAATATGATTCTGAATCATTGTCTAAATATTTTAATCGATGTAGAACGTTGAACACACATTTTCGTCAATTGGATAATATATGTCCGTTTTTAAAATTTCGAATCACAGTATATGTAGAAAAAAATTGATTTTTTTTTTACTTTATGTATTATATGATGATTCAAAACAGTTAAAAACAAATCAAACAAAGATGATAGGAGAATCATAATTATAAATCTTAATCAAATCTTCTAAAAATCTAAATTATTAAATATGGAATATCCGGTGTATGAGTTGAGTTAAATATAATCCGACCCAACAAATTTTTTGTGAAGGAATTTTTTAAATGGGTCGGATATCCGATATACCCGAAAACTTTTTTACCCACCCGTCACAAAAAGTGCTGCGATTATACTAGTAGTCTAGTATAGATTATAAAAAATATATGTATTGATGCATTAGCAATTCTCAATCGATGACCTTAATTATAAACAAGTTAAATTTGGCTAACTTAACCTTTTACCAAAAAAAAAAAAAAGTTAAATTTGGCTAACTATAATAAATCTGAGTTTTGTTTTCCATGGCTTCTTATTTGACTTCTGTTCTCATATCTCTTTCTCTCCTTTTATCGTTGTTGTGTTAAATTAATCTATGAATCAATATATCTAAGCAAATAATAGTTGGTTAGAGGAAGTTGTTTTGCACAGAGTCGTTGTTGTGTAGAAAGCTTGTTCGTGGCATAAGCAATGTTTAAAGCTTTACTCTCGATATCGATATTATCTAGTTTCATAGTATCCTCTGTTAGATTTTGGTTCTGCTACTACAATCACCCCAAATTTTAATTATAAATCCTTGATTATAGCAAATCACCTCTTTAAATCTCCAAAAACCACCAATAAAAAATCTAACAAATCAACCCAAATATCCTAACAACTAACTAAAATCTCTCAAAAACCTAAAATATGCAAATTCCACCAAATGTTTTCAAATTCTTGTTCCAATACACCCCCCTTAGTGTTTTATATTTATTTTGAACATTACGTAACTCCCAAGTCATTAATTCATATTACTTATGTGGCTATTTTGTTTATTTAATCAGCCTAATTTCTCAGTTCCGTCAAGGATGTACAAGAAAACGCAGCAATAGTAGCTGTTTATTTGCGTAAAATTCAGTATAAATATTTAGGTGTAAGGGTGATCAATGTAGACATTTTTTAATCACAAAATATCAAAATCAAATTTGACATATGGTTACCCAACGAATATACAATGGACAACAAGAAGAAGGGGTAGTTGTAAAGTATCTTCTTGTTTTTAATCAAATATTCCAATCATTTTTATCATTGAATTTCAACTTTGATGCTCGAATCATAATATTTCTATATAAACTTAAAGATTAAAGTTTGTTAAACCGCTAGTTCAATCTTTTACATGAGTTTAGCGAGCGGTTCATAATGACTTGGATTTTCTAAGTTTAAATCCGTTTGTGTTTAAAATTATTAAAATATCGAAATGCCCTATTTATTTACTTTGGTTTAGACCTCCAAATATTTAGTAGTGTACGGACCTGCATATGTAACAAGATACTGATGTCATTTTAAAACGACCTGCATATGTAACAAGATACTGATGTCATTTTTAAAACAATTAAAAAAAAATTCTCTTACCTGCTTAACTCAAAAGAATATGCAGCCGGTTGTTTAATTTCATTTTATTTTCCGTTGGCCCTATTGTACAATGCGTTTGTGTTGGTGAAGACCAAAGAGGGAATATCTCTTGGTCTTGGCCTTTTCCTTTCTTTTCTTCAGTGGCGTTGAACGTCATTATTGCCGTATCATGAATTTCACACTATTATTTTTAAGTTAAGTTAGATGTAAATGGTTGCCCCAAAAAAAATAAAGTTAGATGTAAATGATAAAAAAAAACCAGGTTTATATTATGTTTATAAAATAATTAAAAATGAACTATCCTATGTTAATTACTGCAAAATATGTAATTCTATTATTTCTTATTGAACAAAATACATTTTTTTTACATGATCATTCATAAATTGACCATTGGAAGTAAATATATAGATGTACCACAAAAAAAGATGCCCGTGGTTATTGGGTTTACATATGTGGAGTCGTTTGGTGAACCTTAAATCGTAAAGAATGAGATTAGATTGTAAGAGAAAGACAATAGAGTAGTTGATATGTGGTTGTTTATGTGATGTGTATGGTTAAGTCTCTTTCTGTTTTATAAAGTGTTGACTGCTTATTGTAGAATTCAATATTTACCGAGTTTGGTAAAATGGTCATCAAATTCTGAAGTAGATAGATTTATCAGTTTATCGATATTCCGTATGAGGCTATGAGTATGAGGAGCCATGTGGCTCGTAGATTCGACAAGACTGTGAATTCAATTCATTTTGATTAATGTTTTATATATATACCAGGTTTGTAGACTACTATATGCCTAAAAAATCATTGAAAACAAATAAGAAAAATTGGAAAGCTAATCATATATGTGTTATAATAAATCATCATGATACATACAAAATTAAAATGGATATAGATGTTCTCCATGAACACATAAGGGAATAGTCAAAACGATTAAAATCGGGCTTGGAATAAAATATGTAGGAAATTAGGAATAGTGTCAAACTTTAATGATGAAGATAGAGATTATTGTGGAGTCCCAACACATCCACCCATCCGCATAACCACAAATAAAATTAATTTCTCTATCATTCTTTTATATATATATGCCCAATGGGTCTCTTGTATTTAATGTCACATCTATTAAATTCATATCAAACGTTCTATATATGTGTCACGGAGACATCATTGCGAAGTGTGTATATATATATATATACATACATATTATTGTAGACTAAGTGAGTAGAAAAAATCTTTGTTCTAAAAATCGGCCGCCTAGGCGCTGATCGGAGGGGAACCGCGGCGATTTTGTCCAAATCGGTGAGAAAAATCGGATCTCCGATTTTTCGTCCGCCTAGACGGCGCCTAGCCCAATTTTTTTTTTTTTTTTTTTAAATCTTAAATTCAAAACGTCTTACTTATGTTCGTAATTTGTATAAAAATCATAAATTTGAAATTAAAATCTTGTTTTCATGTGTTTAATGCAATTTTAAAAACAATATTATATAAATTTCTTAATTATAATGGATTAATATGTTTTTAAAACATTAAATAGCCCTAAAACTAATCCCTATATAATATCCGATTTTATTGCTAGGCGCTAGGCGCACCCTCACCGCCCGACTAGCGCCTAGCGATTTTTTGAACACAGGAAAAAATATAATTAAACCACAACACTTAACTTTTTGGGATTATTGTTGATTTTGCCATTTTTTATAGAAATCTTTTGAAATTGCCATTTTTACTAAAATCTTATGGATATGCCATTTTCTAACACTTAAAAATGTACGTATTTTGGATTTTTTTTTTGGTAAAAATACGTAGTTTATACAAAATACTAAACCCTAAGAACAACCACAACCGACTAAACCCAAACATAAAGAATAAAACGCATGTTTCCGTAGCCTGAAAAAGGGCAAAATCTATAAACTATT